GCCATCTCTGTGCAAATTCCTTAAAGCTCTCACTTGGTTTCTTTTCTGTCTTTTGAAGATCCTCTCTACTAGGAGCTAATGACGTATTGTATTCATATTGCTTCACAAAGCTGTGAGTCAAATCATGCCAACTCTTAACTTTACTCTTGTCTAAAGTTGAGAACCAAGCATCTGCAGGACCTATCAGACTGTCCTGAAAGTAATGTATCATTAGCTTCTCATCACTAGCATAAGGAGCCATCTTTCTACAATACATCGTCAAATGGGCATAAGGACAACCAGTGCCATTGTACTTATCAAACTCAGGCAATTTAAACTTATGGGGCAATTGAATGTTTGGGAAAAAGCACAAAGATGAGATGTCAACCGGTTTATTGGTTTGGACACCTTGCATCGATTTTAGTGTTTCCTCCATCAATTGCACCTTCGCTTTAATTGCCTTGTCTTCATCCTCTGTAATTGACTTGACAACTTGAGTCTCTTCTTGATCATTAGATTAAACTGTAGCAACACCAGCATTTAGAACAAATGGCTTTGTCCCAGAAGTTCCACCAATAGTTGGATTTGGTGGGCAAGATGACATTGGCTCCTTTCCAAGAGTAGATGTGGTGATAGGGAGATTTGCCACAGAAACATTTCCATCAAATAAAGGATTTGTTGTCAAAGGTGCCCTTGTGACTAAGGTTGCTTGAAGAGATTGGAAGGAAGCCATCAATTCCTTCAAAGTATTTTCCATATTTTCAACACGATTTTCCAAAGCAACCTTTTCTAAATTAGCTTCGTCAACCATCTTCCTTGCAAGAGCTCTTGTAAGAATAGGTGAACAAACTCTTGGATAAATTTTTTTTTAGGACCAATCTTTCAACACCTGAAGAAAATATGAGCATTATTAACAAATCATGAATTTATCTAATTGGTATTTTGAAAGATAAGTTCCCAAAGTTCCCTATCTTCTAATTATTTATTTCTATTTTTACACATGGATTCTTCATTGTCAAGAACAACTTCAACCATTTGTATGTAAAGGGAATGAGAAATTAGAACCAAGCAATTGTCACGCCAGATAGAAACATGAGGAGATTGCCCCCTTCATGATTTTTTAGAATTTTTTTTTTTAAGTAAAAGAAAAATAATGAGGAGATTGCCTCCCTCATATCTTTTCTTCTTTTTATTGAGGAACTTGCTTTTTCTCAACTAGTAAAATTCACTTTGTCAAGATTACTCAAACTATTCCAAGCAATAACCAAGTCTTTTACACAAGGTCTTTTGGTTTGCACAGAGAATTCATCCTTGTGTAACTTGTTGACATTCTAACTCTAAATTCATCCTTTTTCGCTTACTGTTTTTTTCCAAAGAATCCATGTGTAAAATAATCAATTACCTATTTATTAAAATAAAGAAAAGGAGAGTTAATAAATGGCATACCTCTTGGTCGAATTCCTCACCTAAGAAACACAAAAACATTGTTTCAAAAAAAATACTCCCCACGTGTCCTATGTATAAGGTTCTTAAACTTTGAAAGTGATTTACTAGGCTGGCCGTCCTAGGGTTAAGTTTTGTCTAAGTCCATTACATGCGGTTTCCTAGTGGATCCTATACGATTAGGTTTTTTCAACTGTTAACTTCCATAAGTCAACAATTATTGACTTCCATAAAGTCAACAATTGCCAACTTCTATAGAGTTAACAAGAGGCATTTCATGATCTAATATAGCAACAGCATTATGACTGTCAGGCCATATTAACCCACAAAATGAACCTAAAAGGGATAAATCTCACTTCACAAAGAAAGCATTGCGCTTTTCATTGCTCCATGAGTTATCCATCTATCTAGAGGTCGGGTTCACCTC